TCACGTTCTGAATACTAGCTGGCGAGTGCTACTGCGGTGTTATCGTTAATAACGATACCATGAGAGCTACCGATCAGTCGACCTGCAACATAGCGTGCAACGGCAATCCTAATGAAATCTGTGGTGGCTCGTCCAGGCTCAGTCTTTACGTCGCCAAGGACCTGCAGTCCACAAAACCTTGCAACGCAGGACCGGGACCGGATGGTTCTGGTTCTGGCTCGGGCACCACATCCACTGTAACCTCATCAACGTCCACGTCCACGTCCACATCAGCATCAAGCTCCACGACAACGTCTAGCGTTGTCACCACAACCTCAGAGACTTCGACGACGTCCTCACAAACTTCAACCACGTCAGAATCAAGCTCTACCGCAGCTTCCAGCTCCAGCACCACATCGTCTGAGATCCCAACCACTTCCTCAGAGACGTCGACCACGTCTGTGCCCAGCCCTACGACAACTTCCAGCGTCGTCACCACGTCATCAGAAACCTCCACCTCGTCCTCTGGGATTTCAACCACGCCAGCACCAAGCCCCACCACAACCTCAAGCACCACAGTACCCGCTGAGACCCCAACCACGTCCGTGTCAAGCGTCACCACGACTTCCAGCGCCAGTACCGCATCCTCTGAGACGTCAACCACGCCGGTATCAAGCTCTACAACAAGTTCTAGCATCATCACTACATCCCCTGTGATTCCCACGTCTCCCGTGATTCCTCCAACCACAACACCTGTGATTCCAACCACGTCAGCATCAAGCTCAACCACGAGCTCCAGTGCTAGCAGCACGTCCCCCGTGATTCCCACGTCTCCTGTGATTCCCACGTCTCCCGTGATACCAACCACAACCCCCGTGGTCCCGAGCACGTCGACATCAAGCTCTATCACGAGCTCCAGCGTTAGCAGCACATCGCCTGTGATTCCTACATCTCCGGCAATTCCAACCACAACGCCGGTGGTTCCCACAACATCGGTGGTTCCCACAACGCCGGTGATTCCAACTACGCCGGTAATCCCAACTACACCAGTGATTCCGACTACACCAGTGATTCCCACAACACCGGTGATTCCAACTACGCCTGTGATTCCCACAACGCCGGTGATTCCGACTACACCGGTGATTCCAACTACGCCTGTGATCCCCACAACTCCTGTGATTCCGACTACTCCGGTGATTCCGACTACTCCGGTGATTCCCACAACGCCGGTAATACCAACCACGTCAGTATCAAGCCGGACCACAACATCCAGCGCTGCTATGTGCACTAGCACAACCGTAACACAGCCGACCTGTGAATACCAAGTCGGGAAGTGGTGCTCGAACCCAATCCCTGACTGGAATGACAAGAAGAGCTGTCTCGACTCCTGGTCTCAGTGCTCGCTTCAAAGCGCAAGCTGCTTCTCGAAGGCCGGCTTCCCCGACTCACTAAACTGCTTCAAATACCAGGATTGGTGTAGCGAGCTCGACAACTACTGCCTCACCAAATGCGTCGGCGGGAAGTGCGGTGGCAAGTCCGCCTTCCAGAAGATATGTCCCGCGCAAGGTGGCAAACCCGCCGCTACCAGCATGTCGACTTACCCATGCCCGCAAACCATCATCACCAGCACCAAGAGCACGACGGTCCCGCGGCCAACATCCAGCTGCCCGGTCGCTGCGCCGACGGGAATATGTTCGCAGGCCACCAACTCCCGATACGGCTATGGCGCAGGGAAGCCCGTCGGCGGCATCGCGCTCCCCGTGGTGACGTGCAACAACATCAAGGACGAATACAACAAAGGCAACGTCTACAAGCTGTACACCGAGAAGGACAGCCGTAACTGCCCCTCGTACAGGCGCCCGGACTACCAGAGTGCCTGCGCCGACGCCTGCAAGGCTCAGTACCAGCAGTGCGAGTCGACCTACGCAGCGGGTTGCAAGTCGGGCCGCCTCGGTGGGAGCTATCAAGGTGCCCACGACGCCTGTGCTTCTCAGTATAGAGACTGCCTCGGCGCAAACCGGAAGGCTCGGGATACCGGGTATTGCGCCACCTGGACCGACGGCTGTCGTTAAGCCGGTTCCGTTAGCCGTACTCACGAATGAGGAGTTTTCTCTCTTTTTTCCTTGGTCTTTTTTCCCTTGGGTCTTCTGCGATGCCGGTTTTGACGCGGGTATTGACGAAGCTAAGATCGGATTTGCGTGTTTAATTGGGCATGTATACCTACTTTAAAAAGGCTCGTAATTCATAATGACCTCTTCATTTTGGTCGAGGTAGCAGGAACACATAGATGGGACTCAGATACCTGTAATGACGGACATGTATGTAGGGCGGGAAAAAGACATGAGATACGGACATATATATGAGGAAGAGGAGAGGGGAAAACGAAAGGCCGACGCTGTAAACTGAGGGGCTCATGAATAAACGCCGTGAGATTAATCCGAACACACTGTCCCATTTCACGTAGCACATGAGAGGTTATAGCGACCTCGATAGCCCCCAAGATATAAATAGCGCTATATAGTCAGGCATCTTAGCCGCCTGGAGTATAGGCGTGTTACCGCTGTAATCTCCGTGTGGGTGCGCACGGTATATCAGGGTACATATTCGTAACTCGTTTCTTAGACTAACCTAACCTTAACCTAGTCTAATTCCAGTTAGTTCTACTTCTACAAATACCGGCCGCCTTTTCTTTTTCTTCACCAACCCAGACACTCACGATGTGTACAGTCTCTGCAGACCTGGCAGCCTTTCACTCCCGACAGTCGCATTCCCATTGACCCAAGAGATCCTACGTTCACCTCGGAAATGAATAAAACAAACTACCCGGAATGGGACCATGGGCACTCCAGAGCCTTGAAGCGTCTTCCCCCAAGACACGTTTGGCGTATGCCGGACGCGACGGCCGGATGAAGCACCTTACGTAGGAAAGCAGGGCAACCTAATCGACCATCACTCGGATCATTAATGACCGGTGAACTCCTTTATGGTTTGTCGCATCGCCGACTCGGGGGAGCTCGCATGGACGCGGCCCCCTAAACCGTTCACGATATGACTGATTTCGCTGCCAGGCGTCCCATTTAACCATACGGTCGTCAAATGATGCAATTTGACACTCGGGACTCGGGGCGTTTCGATCGCGTTTTCAAGTTTGGTGGGTGAGTCGCGAAAGTATGAATATACGCCTAATCCCCAACCCTCATGACTTACTACTTTGTCGGCCACCTTGTACGAAGCGAATCCGTTGGCCGAGCCGCACTTCCATGACTCTTGGTTGGGAGGGTCGTAGGGAAGTTCAGACTGGTAGAGGTATACTCTGCCGCCATTTCCGTTCCAGAGCGTCTGGTACTCCTTGTGATGCTCGTTAAACAGTCCATAGATTGTCACATCATCACCGTTGACGACGATCCCGTTCTTGGTCGGGTTCGAGTCCCACGACACCCCTTCGCCGTGGTCTGCACGCCAGAGCCATAACTGATCTCCGACCACGTTGTGGCTATTGATCGTGATGCATACATCGTTTTTGCAATGACCCCCTGTGCGCAAAGTGAGGTCGTATAAGAACGCGGGGTTGTGTGCATGGTCGGCGCAGCTGTCTCGAGGTCCGACTTCGATAAGAGTTGGTGATCTGATCTCGCCAGCGTCAATGATCAGGCCTGCTATTGTTATACCGTCCACGTCCGCCACGGAAATGGCAGGGCAGCCGTTGATAGGAATAAGCGACGGTTGACCCAGCCCGAGAACAACAGTATCAGCCCTGGCAACACGCAGGGCGTCATCGAGCTTATAGATACCGGGCGTGAAGAGGACATGCTTTCCTCCCTCTAAAGCCGCATTGATGCTGGCAGCGCTTGCTTCTCCCGGTCGCGCTATATGGAAGTCGCCAATCGAAATAGATTTGCCGGGCGTTGTGCGTCCGTCGACCCAGCTCGGCCCGCGAGTGTTTTTCTGTAGGCAAGGGACAAAGACTTCGTATTGTCCTTGCTCAGTGACGTATAAATACGGCTTTTCTCGAATGACTGGTGTATGATGTATGATGGTATATGGGGGTGTAGGAAAACTGTCCTGCCCCGGAGCGTCTGCGTCCCCGACAAATACCATATTCCATACCCCGTTCGCCCAGTTGCCATACTTATTATTCCGAGACAGCCACTGCTGCTGCGAGCCAGGCAGGATCGTGTGATCCACTACGGAGTCGGCCAAAAAGCCACCCGAAGCCCAGCCTCCAGCTCCGGTAGCTGGGTCAACCTGGAACAGCCAAAGACCACCGGAGCTTCGAATATGCATCCGCCGGAGTGGCGCTGCCTGGGATACGGCTATGGTAGTCGTATTGTTGGTGGCAGGGGAAGCGTTGATAGCGAAATTCTCGAAAGACCGCCAGAAATTGCACGTAGCATTGCGGTTGGGCATCCAGTACGCTGGCACGTTGACGCCGCCATCAATCAGCACATCATCCGGATTCCGCCCCAAGCCCGCCACTTGGGTGTAGAAACCCACGTCGAAGAGAATGGTGTAGGTCCCGGGTTTGAAAAGCAGAGCGTAACGCTCCGAGCCGAACTCATTGGCCTCCATTTGCGCGAAGATGTCGGTCACCGTCTCTTGGATGCCCCCCATCGGCATCCGGGGATCGAACACATAGACATTCGGGCCAAAGATTGTGTCATTCGCATCCGAGATCGAAGCATTCTCGGCCATCGCGACCGGTTGGACGTTGGTCTTTGAAAGTTCAGAGATTACCCAATCGCCGACCCGATCTTACAAACTCTAGCAGTCCAGAAGTTTACTTCAAATCGATTGCTCGCTGGATGAACCAAGTTGCGTGAGTCTGGGCGTGACTTCTCTTATCGCGGACCCTCTTTATAAATTCACATGAAAATAATGGATGGTTCTAGGTTAGGCATCTCTCAAGTCGAATGCTACCGTTACCTTGATGATCATCATCTCCCCCGCTTGAGAATCACATCACGTGCAGATTCCGTGATTATGTTGACATTCTGCTTTTGTCTGCTGTTTCTTTTATGTGTGCCTCTATGGCGTAGTGGTAACGCGTTGCACTTGTATGTCATTCATACAGGAGAAATGCAAAGATCTCTAGTTCAATCCTGGATGGAGGCAATGATGAACTCATTCTTTTTTATTTTTTTATTTTTATTTTTATTTTTTAATATACCTATCTCCCCTCACTACTCACTTCTAGAAACATATTCTATTTCCCCTCACACTGGGCATTCGCGTCACAGCACAACTGGAAAATGAGCCGTGGAATATCAGCAGCGCAATCAGAATACAACACGACTTACTAGCACTTACTCGACGATCCGGTGGTGAATATTTACAGCTTACCTTGTCTGACGGACCCCTTCTGAAAAAATCATGCATCTTAAAGAATGTATTTGAGACTATCAATCCAGTTGATTGTCTTTGCGGTGCTTATATGTGACGGTGAGTTAGTCAACTTACCTCATCTCTCCGTTTTACTCTAGATGCTCCCTGCTAAGAAGTAAGAGTCAGCTCAAAGTCGCGGTTATTCTGGCCTACCTATATCAAGTTTTGGAAGACTCGACTCTGGTACAACTTCCTGAGCAAGGCGTAATATGCTTCGTCGATGGTCATATTCTCGTCGTTCTGCGAACGAAGCACCTCGCCATAGAGAGCCATGAACTCCAGGAACGGGGGAAGCGCTCTGTTAGTCAATTCCATTCGCGACTCAAATCTCGCCGCGTCTTCACTCGGTAACCGTGATCGACTGAGGTAGCGTTGTTTGGCCACTGCTCTCGGGGATTCTGTCACGATCGTCAGCCCCGAGTACACTCTCAGGTAGTTCGTGACGATCTCGATGGATATGGTTCCTGCCGTCAGCGGGTGCCCGTCGATGATGACGGGCTTACACCTACGTGACGCTGGACGCTGGGATCGCAGTTCGGCCATCTTCTCTTCTATCATGCCCAACGCGAGCTTCACGGTCCATGAATGCCCGCCCACTGTCCGGTGGTTGTGATAGTTTAAAAGTACGGGCACGGGGTTGTATCGCTTCAGTATCTGTTCCGGGATTATCTTACCCTCTTGGATATACCGTCTTACCTCCTCGTCCATCTCGGGAGCGCCCGCTTTCAGTTGGGCCAAGTAACTCCGTCGGAGGTCGCCCATCGAGATGTGGTAAAAGTCGAATTGTGCCGCCAGTTTCTTACCGAGCGTGCCCTTACCGGTGGCGGTCGCGCCCGAAAGATAGATGATCGGTCCCCATGCTCTGTCCATGTTGCCGATTGTTGAAGGTAGTATTCGGTTGACACTCAAGATTCTTGATGTTAGTAGGTTCGAAAAGGCCATCAATCGATTTATAGTCAGTGAGTGTGAGAATCAAGATTGGTGATGATGGTAAAATCCAACGACTCAGGATTGACTCTCGCTGATGAGTGTTTAAATGCTGTGAGCTGAACTAAGAACTACTGAAATTACTTTACACACTCACATTGTTCTTCAAAACACTCTCATTGTCTGTTTGATCTTCGGGCCTGGTCGCTCGCCTCAAACCTCTTGAAGCGCCCTCCTTCATCATGCTAAATCTTGGGATCAAATCAACAGATTTCACGATACGATAACTCATCTCCGGGGCTTTGGTTCGTCGTCGTCTTGCAAAGCCAGGCCGTCAAAGTCATCTGACTTGTCAGTTTTATGTGCATTGACGAGGTACGATGACAACAAAAGAAGCCTACAATCGGTATGATGCACTCTTCGTAATTGACAAAGCGAGCGAGGACAATGGATTCTGAGCTATGATCTCCATTATGCTTGTTTGGATTTTTTTTCAACTTTGACCTAGTATTGGAGGTGAGCTCGACTCCAAACACTGGGATCATATATGGGAACGAAACCACTCATCTTGTTCTGTTCAAATGACACCATGGCGGCTTTCAACAGGATCGAGGATCGAGGAACGATGAATGATGATTGATACCGCTCACTCAGCATTACCAGCCATTTGTCAGGTCATATAACACGTGATGGAGTTCACTGATTCTGCTCGAGAACTGGGACTCGTCATTGCCCGCCCATTTGGTATATATAGTAAGTGTGAATCAATAAGAATCAACCCGCTGACGTTTACCTGTTGACGAACATGATTTGCCGAGGCCGGTAAGAAGAAGTGACTGGCTATCTACGGGATGATAGAAGCTGAAAGCGTGCTATTATAATATTGGCACCAGCTAAGCTTCCATGTCAGTATTCTTATTCCAGAGTTTGCAAACACTGAAGCGAACATAGCCACCTCCGAGTTCTGCCTTGCCTTCAATATACAATGCCTTTATTCCCCACGATGTATCATCTCGTGCCCCCCTTTTTATCTTCGGCGGCTTGATAGTTGGCTCATGATCGGCCCGGAGCTACGCGTACGACCAACATTTTAAGATCTCTTTGACAAGAGAGGGGTCATCGTGATTATTATGACGATCAGCCATCACGCAGCTATACACTCACTCTGTTTAAGATGTTACCAACAATAACAAACCGTCGGTCATCCTCGCGAGATGCTTGAATGTCTACCGGCTCTGGGTTTCTATATATATAGATCTCGTGGTCCACGTTTTCGCATTCTCAACTTCCTTATTATTTGCTTTTTTTTCTACTTCCAACGCTTCACATCTTCATGGATAAGTTGTCTATCATCATGCATTTTCCAACACGACTAACCTGGACTAAGGCTCTGGCCTTCACGACACTCCTTTGCAACGTCCAAGCCTTTCGCAATGTCGTTTATATCGACGAGCAAGTCTTCCTAGTGCTTCTGTGGGCGTCTAGAATATGAGCTGACATTCAACACGCAGATGGCATCCAAACATCACCACGGCCAATAACAACACGGCCGACATAACTCATGTCATCATGGCTTTCGTCGACCCCTTGAATTTCACCACGAAGGAACACCTGCCCACTCCTCCTCTCATGCCGGTCGAACAAGTGCGAAGCCATTTCGATAATGGGACCAAGGTCGGCATTGCGCTTGGCGGTTGGGGACGCTGGTCGACGAATTTCGCTTTGGTGGCGGCGGAGGAAAACCGGACTGCCTTTGCCTGCAATCTGGCGACGTGGATGAAAAACGAAGGCTACGATTTTGTCGGTAAGTGACTCTGGATCTAGAGTAAAGCTCCATCGTCAGAAAGAAGCAAGCCGTCCCGATGAGTGAATTCCACTAATGATGAAATCCAGACATCGACTGGGAGTACCCTGGCGGAAATGGAGCCGAGACAGCAACGAACCCCGGGAAAGAGATCACCGACTTTCCCCTCATGATCAGTGCCATCAAAACGGAGCTCAAGAACCAATCCGTCGGTATACAGAACATCAGTCTCTCCGTAGCCGGCACGCCGACCGGCATGTCTGCCTTCCAGTCCGTCAACCAGACACGACCCATCTGGGACAACGTAGACTTCATCAACATTATGGCATATGACTACGTCAATCGCGGCAGCAATGCCACGGGTCATCACAGCGACGTGGAGGGCACTAAGTTGGCGGTCTCGAGATATATCGACCTGGGTCTTGATCCCGAGAAGATCAACCTCGGATTCGCCTTCTACGCCAAGTATTTCCAGGTGAACGGGACATGCGAGAACTTCCTGCTCCCGGCCGGCTGCCCCATCATTCCGGCTCAGAGCGCAAATGGCACGGACCTGTACACCAGCGGCGTCCTGACTTTCGAGTATAGTAATCTGCCCAATATCACTGTGGATAAGGGGGCCCTGCCGGAAACTACCGATGGCACATGTGGTTACTTCAACGGCAGTCTCACTGGCAGGAAATGCACGCAAAGTTTCTGCTGTAGTGAGGATGGGTGGTGCGGAGATCAACCTGCGCACTGCCTCCTTAACTGCCAGGTCAGTAGTAGTACTCTGATGTTTTTTTTTTCTTTTCTTTTTTTCTTTCCTTTTTTCCTCACACCCCATTTTACGCTCGATGACAGACAGCTACTAACACCTACAGGCTAATTACGGCACATGCCAAGGCCCGGACACCGTAGAATCATTCGCGAAAGCACGCACATTTGGCGAGTACGATACGATTAGGGGGGGCGCGTGGTTCTACGACGAGAGTACGACCCCGAAGCTTTTCTGGACCTGGGAGACGCCCGACACGATGTTGCGCAAGTTCAACGAGATTGTCAACAATTCGACGGCTATGCTGGGAGGGATAGCGGGCTGGTCGTTCGGCGAGGATACCATCAGTTTCGAGCATGTGAAGCAGATGCAGAACATGACCCGGATGCGAAAGGCTGGGCAACCTTCGCAGTGCTTCAGGCCGTAGCCCACGCGTTGACCGTAAGGATCGGTATATTGCTTTCTTTCTTTCTTTCTATCTATCTTTCTTTTCTTTCTTTCTTACTTTCTTACTTTATATTGCTTCACTTACAACCAACTCGCGGCTGGGACTTCGTCGCTGGAATTCATAGTAAGCTGTTTAGCAACATTAAAGACTAAATAAAAACAGAGACGAGTATTTCAAGGAATCATCCATCTATCTATAGGTGTGATCAACCTATCAAGTGTACCAAGTGATGGTGACTTGGCATGGCTTTTGTCTGAGACGTGATGAACTAATAACTAATAACTAATTATTATCGTCGAGCGGCTTCGATGATCATAGTTTCTAGTTTTGAGACCCATGACCATACGTATCTTTCGGGATTTATTGCCATTCATTGATTATCTTACACGTATGATCTCATCGAGAAAAAAAAAGAAAAAAGAAAAGAAAAACCTATCTCCGCCTCTCACCTTTGGAGTATATCCAGCTTTATCAAATCGTTACGTGTATTGTCAAACGGGTGTCGATCGACCGGGAGAATACGATTTTTGAAGACCCAATCGGTCTATCTAATAGGGTACAGCCTGTAGAACTTCTCTCGTCTTGAGTCCATGTTGCTTTATCAGACCGGGCGGGAGTGACTTGATTCTTGGAACGCTGGATGGAGTTTTGACCTGACAGCCGGATCCAGCACCTCTCGGCCCCCCCCCCCCCCTTGTCTCGTAAAAAAAAAACGTTTACATGTTTATTTTATTTATTCTAGCTATAAATACTAAACAACGTAGCGGTACAGAAAGATGCCTTCCCACGTTCCA